CTGTATCATGTGGATATTTGAGAGTACCTTCAAGTTGAAGATATTCAAGAGCACCTTTGCATCAGTAATTCAGAACACATTGTTAGTGACTGTGGAAGTTGTTATTTTTTAAAAAAAATTAAAATGTAAACTCTTGCAAATGATACTGGTAATTATGTTCTATTATTATTAAGACTAATAAATAAGGTTTTAGCTACTCTTCTTGTAGCTTCATTTAAGGCCTGTTATTTTTTTAAAAAAATTAAAATGTAAACTCTTGCAAATGATACTGGTAATTATGTTCTATTATTATTAAGACTAATAAATAAGGTTTTAGCTACTCTTCTTGTAGCTTCATTTAAGGCCTGTTATTTTTTTAAAAAAATTAAAATGTAAACTCTTGCAAATGATACTGGTAATTATGTTCTATTATTATTAAGACTAATAAATAAGGTTTTAGCTACTCTTCTTGTAGCTTCATTTAAGGCCTTCATACAATTGAAAATTTATGTTTAAACATGTTAAAATCCTGCTCATTGTAAAAATAACAGCTTGTATAGCCTTATAATTAAAATTACAAACAGTTAAGAGCCACATACACATGCAAGAAGCTTTTCCACCTTCATTTTCTAAACCTTGGCGCTGGCTGTTCTCAAACATCCATTGCCAGCAATGTGATGTATTCAATAGATTTTGTTTTTAAATTTTCATTTCTGAGGCAAATGAGCTATTCAAGAAACTAAGAATTAAGTTTAAACAGACTTCCTTATGTCTGGACCCAAACTAGCACACATATACTGCAACCCCCTTATCCTCTGATTAATACATACAAGTTAAGCATTCAATAATGGATGAAAACATGCAATCCAATAAGTTCACAGATTTTTATATTCAGTCAATGTAAGAACATCTTAAATTTACAATTGCAGGTATTTCAAAACACACAATAATCAGGTGGGAACATCACAGGAAGCCAGTTTTCGGTTAAAGACGCACAGTGAGTCCATCCAAGTAACTTCATTAGCTAAAAAGAGCAAAAAACAAAAGTTACTTTTATATATTTTAAAGTAATCTTTATATTAAGCCAAAGTCATGAAAATGAAATTGAATGTGTTTAGACTACCAACAATTAGCAGAATACAGTAATATAATATTAGACTTTCATTTAGTCAGTGACATTTCTAGAAAATCTGTCCTAATGGTGCAATTTGATTTTATAGTTCTGAATGTGACTGAAACTTGCATACCAATTTAACTGAACTGAATATGCAATGACAACTACTTACCTGTATACAATTCTTCAAGTTGTCTTTGGTGGGCTTCTCCTCTGCAAGTTTATTTGCAAATTTGAGACCTCTGCCATACATTTTGTTTACCAGTGCATGCTTATAAGCAAAGGGTAAAACCTACAGAAGAGTATAAAGAAAAAAGGTAGAGGTAGACATTTGTCAGCAGAATATAAGTTCTGCAAAGATTATCTATCCTAGTTCACTTTTGGAGTTGACAGTAGCAGAGTCAGAACTAGAATAAAAATCACCTCCAGGTATTTGATGATAGAGGCATCCCTCGAGTTATTTTAAGTTGACTATATTAAAATGTTGTTAGAGGCTTTTGAGTTATTCCCAGCTTTATGATTCTAAACACTTTATATTAAAGTTATTTTAGAGGTTATTTAAATATATTTTAAAGAAAGAGGTATTAATTTACATGGTGCTATCAACATGCACAGCACTATAAAAAGCAGAGGATGACAATGATATTCCAGTTAAACATGCTTAGATTTAGCTGCAGCCAAATTAGTTTAGGTTAGACTACAACCAGAGGTTGTACCTTAAGGTGTACAAGGACAATGTGCGAAAGAAAAATGGAGGAAGGCCACTGCCAGCATGTCCTATTTATGATCTTTATAAGAGCTCTGGGCTACTGAATATGCTACAAAAGATTTAAATTACTCTTTTGACAACAGCTCTTGCATGCAAATATTTTTATACAATTTAAATATAAAACATTGGTCTTCACCTAAATTGGTAATAGGTATCATAACCTAAAGATTCCTTTCTTCAATTGTATGAACCAGTAGTTCTACTCCTCTCAACATACCTTGCTGTCAAACAGGTCAGTCCATTTTGATGTTTCCCAGAAAGTCTCTGTCAGAGTATTCAAGATGGTCTCTTGGCTGTCATCTTTACATTCAGCATCACTTGATACAGCCCCTTCCTGGGCCTGTAACTGCAGAAGTTGGTCTGATAATGCACATCCTTTCCGACAGAGGGCATCTACTAAGGTAGATTTCTGCTTTTCCATCTCACTATGTGGGAATAATATTACTTCATTTATAGTGAACAAGTCTCTTTCATCATGCCTATATAGGCATTTTTCACTAACTGCTGAACACCACCACCACCACCACGACCACCACGACCACCACACAAAATACACTTGCATTCCTTTCTAAGGTATATGACATTTAAAAGAAAACATTTTTAAACTGAAGAAACTAGGTTCCAAAATACGTATTTTAACTAGGGATATTCATCAAACAAACAATTCTACCACCTTGAAAGGAAGAGGGCATGCATTCATTCATTCATTCATTCATTCATTCATTCATTCATTCATTCATTCATTCATTCATTCAATTTATTATATTATATTATTATATACTCATCCCGCAAATTCAACTTTTGGTGGCTATCAACATGTAAAAACAAGAATAAATAATATTAACAAAGAATAAAAGCATACAATGGTTCCTGAAGGTAAAACCAGACAAAACCATCACCAAAAAGCTCTCAATGGGCCATCTAACCTCTAACTCCCAGGCCATGGAGCACATCTAGGCCTTCATTGCTTTATGAAATGCTGGCAGGGTTGGAGCCAATGTAATCTTGGGGGGTATGGTGTTCCAAAGGGCAGATGCTGTGACAGGAAACACACACTTCCTAGGTCCTATTCTTTAATTGAGGGGACCTAGAGCAGGCCTCTCCTGTCAGACCTAGTGGAACAGGTAGAAACAACTGGGAAGAGGCAGTCCGGCAAATAACCTGACCCCACACCATTGAGGGCTAGATGACAACAGCATGTTGAATTCCACTTGGGAGCACACTGGAGCCAGTGCAACTTGCAGAACAGAGATGTAACATCAGGTGTACTGAGATGCCCGTGCCACAGCACTGTGGCTCAACTGCAGCTTCTGGATGGTCAAAGGCAGCCCCATGTATAGTGTCTAGCAGTAATACACTCAGGAGGTGACTAAAGCATGAGTGATCATGAGCAGTATCTTCCTCAGTCTAGGAAGGGCACAAACTGGTGCACAAAACAAAGTTGTGCAAAAGCCCTCCTGGCTACAGCTACCACCTTCTCTCTGAACAGGAGCTGTCAGTACAGGACACCCAAATTGTACACCAGTTCTGTTTGGGGTAGTGCAACCTTATCCAGAACCAAAGATGGAAAAACACTGCATCCAAGGGGCCCTAAAAGCCACAGCCACTCTGTCTTGCCAGGGTGAGCTGAAGCCTGTTCTTCCTCATCCAGAACCCCACAGCATCCAGACAGAGATAGAACCTCTTGCTCAACCCCACTGGTGGTAGCAGTGTATATAGGTAATAGTATTTATTTGAGGACATGTTTTCCAACTTGCATTTTAATATCCAAGGAAATCAAATAATTACTGAATGCAGAATTATTTCTCTTTTCCCTCTCCTATATAAGGCCTAATTTTTGTATGGTAAAGCTTTATCTCAATTTTAAACTCATAGAATCACCATCCCAATGCTAGTATTATTACTCTAGTAATTTGGAATGTTTCAACATATTAAATAGTTCAAAAGAACTATCAGGATGCCTGCAGATCTCAGTTCTGAACCTGACTAGTGTGATCATCTTCCTTTTCCAGATCCACATGGAAAGCAATCTTCTTTGGAACAAAAAGAAAAAGCTGATGGTTTTATCTTCAGGAGGAAGTATTACTCAGGGTTCTCCGATTTGCTCTTTAAAATATCTGCTATATGGTTTTACAGCTTACCATTTGTTTTCCCTTCGTTCTTACATTTCTTTAAGTATATTTTTATTCTACCTGCCACAATCTAGTACAAATGTGTAATGACACACAAGGATTTGGGCAGAAGGAAGGAGAAAGCAGAATGAAACTGTTGGCTGGCCTGATATTCTTTGAACATCCATTGCTCTGACATTCTAGTGGTCAACCTTTCCTCCCTGGCAATATCACACCAGCATTAAAAATAATATTTTAAAGCATAAAAATGCAATTAAATGTGCTCAGTTTATGTTTCTTTTCTCATGAATATGAAAACACTTTAATTTTTAAGCTTAGAAGAAGAGATGACTTTACGAACAGTTGCTGAAATAAGATGCAAGAAAAAAGTATTTACTGGTTAGGTACTTTTTTATAGTAGCAGCATCAGGCCTGGGATCAGTCTTCATAGCAAGATAAATGGCAAGGGCTGTTTGATCAATATGAGAGATCACTGTATTAGCAGCCTCAATGATTTCATTTAAACGTTTCATTCGCTCCTGGAGGAAAACAAAATGATATTCCCTTATTAAATACAAATGTATTAATATACTATGAACGTTCAATTGATAGGAGAGATGGACAGCTATTTTGATCCAAAGCAGAAAAGATACTTTGGAGGTAAGGTGGGTGCACTTAATTGCACCTGTTAGTTCATCTTCATAGAATCTATATGGGGAAGTGTAAATGCAGAAAGATAGGCGTAAAAACAATAACTTGAATGATGCTTTGTAATTTACTAGAATTAATGTTTTGCTAGTAATTATTAGTTTCAGCAGCAAAGATGGATTCTACAAATCATTAAAATGAAAGGTATTATTTTTTGGAGTTATCAAATGATACCAAATAAACAAAC